GGTTGCCAGTGAATACTGAGGCAAAAAAGTTGTTGAGTACCTCAGCCTTCTCTTCATCTCTTTTTACCAGTTTGCAGTCATATTCATCAGCAGAGGTACACTTTCTTTGACCTTTCTTTCCTGGCTGACATACCTACAAAAGCCCTTCTTATTCTTTGTGTCCCTTGCCAAGTTCAGCTCCAGCGGTGACTTGACCTTCCTGACCCCATCCCTATACAACCGGGCAGTGTCCTGTACTCTTCCCAGGATACCTGTCCCTGCTTCCGCTGCCTGTGCATTTCCTTCTTGCCCTTTAGTTTGACCCGCAGCTGTCGACTCATCCATGCTGGTCTCTTGCCTTCCTTTCCTAATTTCTTACACTTGGGAATCGAGAGCTCTTGTGCTCTATGGAAAGCATCCTTAAAGATCTGCCAGCTCTGTTCTGTTCCCTTGTCCCTGAGGGCAGGTTCCCAGGAGGTCCTATAGACTAACTCCTTGAACAGCTGGAATTCTGCTTTCCTAAAATTCAGGGTCCTGGCTTTACTCTTTGCCTGACCCATATCCCTCAGGACTGCGAACTCTACCAGTGCATGATCACTGCAGCCCAGGCTGCATCCAATCCTGATGTCACCGATCAGCTTACTTGCGTTGGTGACCATCATGTCCAGTATCGCATCCCCTCTGGTAGGGCTGTCTATTACCTGGCTTAAGAAGTTATCCTCAATGCACTCCAGGAGTCTCCTGGATTGCCTACAGCTTGCTGTGATACTTTTCCAGCAGATGTTGGGGTGGTTAAAGTCCCCCAGCAGGATGAGAGCCTGTGAGTGCGATGCCTCCTGTAGCTGGAGTAAGAAGGCTTCATCGATAGGCTTTCCTTGATCGGGTAAACGAGGCCTGTACTAAATACCAACCACAAGGTTCCCTTTGTTGCCTCGGTCTCTAATTCTTACCCATAAGCTTTCAACCTGCTCATGGCTGTTCTTCAGAGACAGCTCTTCACAATCTATCCATTTCTTGATGTAGAGGGCAACCGCTCTGCCTCTCCTTCCTCACCTTTCCCTTCTGAACAGCCTGTAGCCATCGATAGCTGCACTCCAGTCATGGGATTTGTCCCACCAAGTTTCAGTAATGGCAACTAGGTCGTAGCTTTCTAGCAGCATGGTGGCATCCAGCTCCTCTTGTTTGTTGCCTGTGCTGCACGCATTGGTGTAGAGGCACTTCAGCTAGGCTGTTGGCCATGTCACCTTCTTAGAGGAACACACCTTAATTCCTTTGAGGTATTTCATTGGTGTTTCCCTGTTCTCAGAGCAACAGACTGAGGGCCCTTGCTGGCACCTTATCCCTCTAACCGTGGCGTGTTGTCTCACAGCTTGTCATGACAAGCCTGACATTATCCCTCTCCCCCTTCAAGTCTAGTTTAAGTAATGTTCAACTGTAATTTCTTTAGAGGGAGCTTTGTCATAGAGTGAAACTAGTTTTGGTTCCAAATTAGCGATTCATCTGTAGAAGATAGGGAGGAGCTGTTACTTAAGATGTTGGCGTCCATACACATTTAAATTCAGTTTACAAATAAATAACGGGATGTATGATTTCCTGACATTACAAGTGGGATACAGATGCCTGAACATCAATGTCTCTTGCACTGTAGACATTACCAGTTATCCTGTGCTATGCTATGAACCTTCCACGGGTCCTTTTTGTGTCATATGTGCCAGTACAATGTGGATGTTGCAGGAATTAAGCTGAAGCATCCAGATCTTATCTTAATTAAACTTAAAAGGGTTTCCTGTGAGGGAGGTCTTCTGGAAAAGTATCTTAATTTTCCAATCGTTGCCTTCATTGTTGTCAAAACTGCCTGTGTTTTTTAATTGTTTTTGTGTAATGGGTGTTTTTTGTGGGGGTTTGGGGTTTTTTTGGTGTTATTCACAGTATACATATTTGTCATTGTGCTTTACCATGTTCTTTGATCAGCAATCAAGTTACAATTAACGATCAAGTTTCAAATGTAAATTAAGAAACAGAAAACCCTTTGAGGTAGGGGCCTTCACACTGCTTGGGACCATTGTTTTGCAATGAAAACTACTAGATAGAATTGTATGTGTTTGTTATTTGTAGCTTTTACTTCTGTTGCAAGATGCCAATAAAATAAGAAACAAACATCCTGAAAAGAAATTGAACATGAGACTTGTTAGGGAAAAAAAAGGAATTTTTTTCTATTGAGCCAAGTTCATAACTAAGTTCCTAAAGCAGTTGGATAGTTTCACTTTATAAAAAGTGAAATATCTTTAGGATGTTTTAACACTGTTTATATGATATAAGGAACAGCTTAACTTTTTAGTTTCAAGATGTTTGTATCAGGAGTAGGGACATATTTTTAAATCTAGGATTAAAATATTGTTGTAAAAATAGACATTCTGATATCATTCTGAAGCAAGTATGGTTCTTTCCTATATGTTATGTAACAGCTTCAGGCGCTTTTGTGTGCATCTTTAGCTGCTTGACAAAGCTTTTGACTGCTTGAGGGAGGGAGGGGATGAGTGGAGGAGGTATAGATGGGTGGAACAGCACCCTCCCACAAGACTGCTGAATCAGACTGGTGTAGTGGTCAGGGTGCATTCAGTCATAGCAGAGGTAACTTTGATGGCCTGGTTAAGGAAAATCTTCTGTCCTGATGTTCATGAAGTGTCTATTCATATCTTTACCAGTGTCACAGGTCCCCAGGTCAGGCAAAGCCTGGAGGTAATACATGTAGGCTTCATCCATCTGCTCCTTTTAGTAGTCTTCCTGCTTGAGCTGCAAGCTCGCAACTCTGAGTTGTGTGACTGTCTTGCTGCGGCTTTCTCTGCTTGCTACCCCGGCGTGGTCACTGAGATATTTCCCTTGAGCAAACTTGGCTGCTTTCTGGAAAAAAAAGCTCTAGAGGGTTACCCTAACCTGGTGTCCTTCAAAGAACATTGGCACATCTTAACAGACGTATTGACTGCCATTTGTAACTTGCAGGCATCTCAGAGACCCCCAAAAGCAGATTGCACCTTTGTAAAGCCTTCTGTCAATTTTTTGCATGAAGACAATAAACCAGGCTGAAATTATAAATGCAAATAAAAATGTGAATGTGAAAGCAGCTTGGAGTGTCTACCAGTGTTCATGAAGGAGCAGAAGTTACTTATCACTGTCAGGAATTCTTTATGGTGCTTTGTCAAGCTGTACATGGAACACTTCTGTTCATTCCTGTCTCCCTGGGAGTACTTGCATGCTGCCTGGCTTCTGCAGGTGGGAGGAAGCTAATGGGCTGTGTAAGCATACACTGCTGTTCATACTCAGTGTGAAGTGGCACTTGCCCTTTAGGTACTGCACAGACAGAAGGTTTTCAGATCTGATTGTCTGTGACACATGCACAGTGGCTTGTTTTACTACATGACACGTGATGCAGGGGCATGTGTCTGGAGAGTCTATTTTGGAGACTTTCTTGTTGCTGCTAAGTAAATGTCTTTTAAGTAGAAGTCATGTTTTGTCTATGTCTCCTGCAAGCTGCTGAGCTTGAAGACACAGCACATATGTTGCAGAATAGGATTCACAGTGACGGATTGGACCAATGATTAAGAAAAATTGGTTGCAGTTAAATGAAAACAAATTCAGAGATCTACACAAAGGAATGCAAAGAGAACACGAGCCTCATAGCTAGAGCATATCACAAAATAAGTGTGTCAATTTATTCTGTAGTTAGAAAAAGATGCACATCATGCTGAAGTATGTAAAGAAATATTGTCTGTAGGGTACACCAATACCCCATAAAGCAGGATTTTTAAAAAATAATTCTGGGCATGGCATTTTGCTAGAGTTATGGGCAAATTAGAAATTCAAGAGGACAGTACAAGTGATCAGAAGTTTGGGAACCAAGACTCAGGATTTGGGCTGGGGAGTGAAGTTTCTATAATCTAGAGCAGTGGTTTTCAGCTTTTTTTTCCTTTGCAAGCATAATGTTTTTTCCATGTTTGGAGTTGCAGACCAAATACAGAGCTTTTTAAAGCCTATAGGTACTAAGATTCCTCTCCAAAGTTATTTCTGTGGGCCCTTAAAAGCAGCTCACTGACCACAGGCTGAAAACTACAGATCTATAGAAGAGAAGTTTGAGGAAAGGGGAGGAGGAAAATGAATTCTAAGATTGTCTAAGAGAAGAAGACAAAAAGCCATTCCCTGCATTCTTCGTGGTGTGAGACTAGAATCACAAGCTTAAACTGCAGCAAGGAAGGATTACTTCACATAACAAAACAGTTTTTTAATAACATAACGACACAGACCTAGAGAAGCTGCAGAAAATCAGTATGTTAGAGGAAAAGGTAGACAAATACTTGGTGGGCAGGAGGAAGATGACCTCAATGATTTCTGTGAGTTTGATATAACAGCTCAAATAATCATATTCGAAGTGACCAGAGTTGCTTTGCTTGTAATGAATACTGCTGAAGAAATACTGGTTTATTCCTGAAAGGTGACCACATTTCCATACTGGATTACTTTACTGCTTTGTGTGGGAATACATCCTAGGGAATGGGCTTGGCCACATCAAGTACAAAACACTGGGGATGCTCATGGGTCTCTTTGGGAGATGCATGTGTGCTGCTTCTCAGGGGCTGTAGTCCAAAGTGATAGATGTCAGCAATTAAATGTGCTGTGCAGCAGTGAGATGAAAAAATACTCTTTACACCTTGCGTGTAAAGCAGCTGTATTGTCATCTTTTAGCTGTCAGAGTTGCTGTCTTGTTTTTCCCTTGCCTGCCCATGACATATGTTCTACTTTATTAGGCAATGCATTTACAACACATTGGTACAAACTGTGAGTTTTAAGAGGTGTTTATGATTACTTTTATTAGCTGCATTTGCAGGTTACTCTAGGAGCCACCTAGTGGTACACTAGTCCTAATAAAATGTGTATAATAACAAAATATCTGTAGTTGTAACCAAGACATGCTCAAGATGTGTGTGCACCCACGTATAAATATAATTAACTTTTGTTTTTTCAGCTACAAGAAGAAAGATGCTGATTTGTCTGTGGCTCAGGGTCGCATTAAGGATCTTGAAGTGCTGTTCCATAGAAGTGAAGCAGAACTCAATACTGTCCTGAATGAGAAGCGCAGTCTGGAAGCAGAGGTGGCTGATTTGCGTGCCCAACTTGCTAAGGTATGGCAGTGAATGCTTCCTTGCTTTAGCACAGGAGAGGCTGTGTATTGTAAAACTTATTTTTCTTTCCAGTTAGTTTGTAGTCTGAACATCAGTGATCCAGCTCGCTTACTGCTGATCCTTTGCCTGCCCCTCTTGGATATAAAAACAAATTGTAAGAAATCTTTGTAAAGCAACCAAAGCAACATGGTGTTTTAGAAATTTTGCTAGTCAAAAGCTTTTATTTAAAAATTTCTGATAAGTGTTTCTATATTCATGAGATATGAGGTTACTAAACATTGTCCTTTGTAAGGTCCTGCATAACTTTAAACTTATGCTGGAGTACGCAGTGGGACTATGCTAGCAAGAAAAAGAAGAACATGCAACATACTGTGCTTGAGGAATTAATAATCCTCGGCTCCATTATCATACTGTATTGAAATAATCGTATGTTTTAAATAACTGGTATATAAACATGAAAGCTTGTTTTAAATATTCATAAGCACACACACTCTTTTTCTTTTTTTTTAATTGGAAAATCAGTGGATTGACATTAGATTTGTTGTTGTGAATAATTGGTCCAAAGATGTCAAATGAAGACCATAAAGGGATTATGGGGATGGAAAATAGGGATCCAAAATTAAATCTTTATCTTTAAAATTCTTTACTAGGCTGAAGATGGTCATGCTGTGGCTAAGAAGCAGTTGGAGAAGGAGACACTCATGCGTGTGGACCTGGAGAATCGGTGCCAAAGCTTGCAAGAGGATCTGGATTTCAGGAAGAATGTGTTTGAGGAGGTGGTATTAACCTAATAATCTCATCATAGTCTGAAGTTTATGTAGCTTTTATTCAAACTGACTATAAGCAATTACTAAGTCCAGATAGGGAAGGTCAGTATTATCCTTGCTATAAATAGGTTGAACAATAAAATAGTTAAAGGTTTTGTTACATGGTAAATCAGTGGCTGAACTGGCATGAGAGCCAAGTGACAAGGGTATTGTTCCATGGGCAGGTGAGCTAATGTAGCAGCTGACTGCTGTGGGAAAGGGACAGTCTTGTTCCTTCTCTCTGGACCTGGTTGCATGGTCGTGCTCCTTATTTGCACCAACTTTGGTGCTTGTTGAATCTGACTATAACCTATTTTCATTGATGAGAACAGTATGCAATTACCCTGCTTTTTGCAGGGGTAGGTTTCTGCCTGTTTAGTGAGTTGAGTTGGCTCATAGCGGTTCTAGTGAGGACCAAAGTTTTTATAAAATAGTGGGAATGCACGGGTGTGGCTTGGGGGATTGGGAAAGGGAAGCATGACCTTTTCTCTGTACCAGATGCGAAGTGTTATGTCAGTTTTTTCCATCTTATGAAAACCAACTCTGACCTTTGGTTCTGCAAGCTCATTCAATTAGTGGCTGCTGAGCAATTGCCCATGCTTCTGCCCTTCATCTCACCTATGCTAGTTGTGATGTTTCTTTCACCATGCACGAAACCACTTCAGCCTGATTAACTAGTAAAATACTTAGGGCTTTCTGGTTGAGTTATGTCTTACCTCGGAATCAAATGAGTGCCCAGACTGGATTAAGGGATGGGGCAGGGCTGTGTGGCTAAGGACAGGGGCTGGAGCAGGGCCAGAGAAACCAACCAGGTAGATCACCCTGAATTGTACTGACCATTGTCTCACTTCCATGCCCTGGAGTAGTTGGATTGCTGCACGTGACTGCAGTGACAGACCCTTGCTTGGTTGTAGGGCCTTAAAATAACTTTCTTTCCTGAGGAGAATTGTGTTGCTACTGACTAAAGGTGAAGCTAAATGAGACAGAAGCTAATCTTAAAGCTTGCTATGCTGAAGTGGGGGTGTTCCTTTAGCCATCCCTGGAGCTCTTTGATCCTTGTATGGACCAATTCAACACACAAAGGAAACCAATTCCTTTTTTTCTTCAGGTTAGTGAATTCATTTGATTCAGTGAAGGGTCCAACGCTCCATTAGAGTTAGAATATCATGATTGGGAGTGTGGCAAGTGAAGCCTGCTTATTCTAGTGGTGTTGAACTGCTAGATCAGCTCAGCCCTTCACCTGATACTTTGTAGTCCTCCATGATATTTTTGTGGCCTCTGAGGGGTCATTGCCTACAGTTACTGAGAGACTGCTGCTTGCTAGTTTTCTTGGCATAAAAATTCACCACAGAATGGAAAGCTTCTTCCAGATCACATCAGGACACATTTCTGTGAGTAGAAGGGCACGTTTTTAAGAGTCTATTCTTAGATGTAGAGCATTTCTGCAAAACAACTTGTAAAGTTGCTGTGAATTTGTGTTAGCCTGCTATGACTCCAATTTAGGCATGCAAAGTGAGCCTTGCTTCACTTGCCTGCTGTTCCTTCTCATGGCCCTGCTGCTACCTTCAGGCCTCCTCCCAGTAGTCAGAACTGCTCCTTTGTTGTTCGTCCTACCCTGAAGGGAGAAATTGTCTCTTTCTCATACCATGCATTCAGGCCTGGCCAGGTCTCTGCGGAGCTCAACATAAATAAGTGCATGAGTAAGTCTTACCTCACTAGTTGGGGACCAGTGTTCTAGGCACAGAGAACTCATACTTCTCTAAAAATGAAAATTTCTTAGTACAAACTCTGACCAGAAAAAATTAGATTTATGTCTTCAGGATTGCTTGGGTTGCTGCTTTATTACTAAAGTAATCAAAATCAATGAGTAGAGGTCATCCAGTATACAGAAAAAGAGAGAAGATCTGCATATGCTTAAAAGTGAAATTTGAAGATGCAGGTTTTATCTATAATGATTATTTTTTCAATATATGCAATGGTCACAAAAGGTGTTCCTTTTTATCTGACTCCTTGTAGACTGCTATTGTAATGTAGGCATGTATATTGAGAAGGAAAGGGTTTGTAGTGCAGCACATGGAATCTCTTTGCTATGTAAAAATTCATGTTTTCTTCTCCCCTCCTTCCCCCATTTTGACTTTTGTAGCATAAAACATCCATATACAGTTTAAGTAAGGAGCTATTTTTAAACCTGTTTTTAAGTCAGATCACTTTTAATGGTAACTTGCATCTGTTAGTACATGCAGCAATTCTTAGGCTTAAATGCCTTTAGTACTGTAGCTCCTATATACTAAATAAGTAGTACTGAAATAGTTAATTGTTGTCTGAATGTAATTGCTGTACTGTACCTTAATGTGGGAATTTGTCCCCATTTTTTTTGTGTGTGTAGGAAATAAGGGAAACAAGAAAACGACATGAACATCGTTTGGTCGAGGTGGACACGAGTCGCCAACAGGAGTATGAATCCAAAATGACTCAGGCCCTGGAGGATCTGCGAAATCAACATGATGAACAAGTCAAACTGTACAAAATGGAGCTTGAGCAGACCTATCAGGCTAAGGTAACTAATGCTATCCACAGCACTGTCTGACAGGAAGTCCAGTTGGTGAGATAAAACCATTTCCATCAGCCCTACTGTCTTTAAGGAGACAAGTAATTATAATTTGAAGAAGCTTTCTCCCAGTGTTCACATGCCTCCTCTGGTGCTTGTGTGTGGATGCACTTCCAAGGAGATCGTAGCCAGAGGTAATAGCTAGGAATAGCTTTAGCCAAGAAAGGCCAGTTTGTGAGAAAACACATGGAACTGTTGGTTACTGCGGAGAGGACACAGTGGGAATAGCGGATGTCATGCAATAGCTGATTAGACAATGTCTTCTGCTATAAGGGTTTTTTCCTTGATGTCAGTAGATCCAATTCTTCCTCCAAAATGGAGGTGGTGGAGGAGATTTGCAATAGGTGCAATACATGGGCTCTAAGAAGCTGACTACCTGGAGGGATGGGTTGGAGAGCTTGGGGAATGGCTGCATTTCAATACGGGCTTTTGCCTGGATGCAGTGAGCTTGCTAACTAATATGGACATACTGAGAGGGGCTCCATGTCTAAGGTTGCATTGTCACTTTATTCTTACTGTGGCCTTTGCAATGTTCTTACTAGCCCCAATACTCTTTTAAATGTGTGTAAGCCTTAATACATTTCAATGATCTAAGTTAGTTCTGGATTGGAAAATGACTCGATGCAGTCATGGTTTCATTGGTGGCGGGGAAACTTCAGGCAAGGTATTGGACCTTTTTTGACCAGCTTTGGTGATGAAAACCACGGTATGAAAATTGGAAATCATAGAATCATAGAATGGTTTGGGTTGGAAGGGACCTTTAAAGGTCATCTAGTCCAACCCCCCTGCAGTAAGCAGGGGACATCTTCAACTAGATCAGGTTGCTTAGAGCACCGTCCAACCTGACCTTGAATGTTTCCAGGGATGGGGCATCTACCACCTTCTGGGCAACCTGTGCCAGTGTTTCACCACCCTTGTCGTAAAAAAATTCTTCCTTGTATCTTGTCTGAATTACCCTCTTTTAGTTTAAACCCATTCCCCCTTGTCCTATCGCAACAGGCCCTACTAAAAAGTCTGTCCCCATTTTTTCTTATAAGCCCCTTTTAAGTAATGAAAGGCTGCAATAAGGTCTACATGGAGCCTTCTCTTCTCTAGGCCAAACAACCCCAACTCTCTCAACCTGTTCTCATAGGAGAGGTGTTCCATCCCCCTGATCATTTTCGTTGCCCTCCTCTGGACCTGCTCCAACAGGTCCATGTCTATCCTGTGCTGAGGACTCCAGAGCTGGATGCGATACTCCAGGTGGGGTCTCACCAGAGCGGAGTAGAAGGGAAACGTGAACACAGGAGTAATTTAATCCAGGAGAATGCTTCTTAAACTTCTTAAAAATATTTGCACTCTTTTGGTTTATCTGTCTATTGTCATGGATAAGTGGAATGCACCTCACTCAAAAGAGAGAAGCAGGATTATGTTTTATTGAGGTAAAACAATAACTTGACAGAGTTCAGTAAGTTCGATCGAATTTAACAAAGTTTAACAGTGGTTTGACAAGGTTCAATAAGTTCGATGGCAAGGTTCACCTTATTAATTACTGCATGGAAGGAACATACAAAGGGTAAGGGATCTCTCTGCCTTGGGTGAGGAAGGATCTCTTAATCTCAGGTAAGGAATCTCAAACCTTGAGAGGTGTCCCTGCTCAAGGGGAGAGTCACCTGATGTGCAATCCAGCTGCAGTTCAGGGGGAGCTCAAATTGGGCCCATCTTGATGGTAATATTTATAGGGTGAAATAGGTGGCTGCTAGTCAATAGTATAGACAAGACAGATGTCTTCATTTTAGCTCTGGTATCTTGTTCTGTGCTTTGGTTATCTTAGAATCATAGAATCATTAAGGTTGGAAAAGAACGCTAAGATCGAGTCCAACCGTCAACCCAATACTACCATGCCCACTAAACCATGTCCCTAAGCGCCACATCTACACGTCTTTTAAATATTATTTAAGATTAAATAGCTTCTATTGTTTATCAAAAGGATATTTGCAGGATATCTAACTCAATGCAAGTGACTTGTATAAAACTTGCCTTCCAGCTGGAGAATGCCAAACTGTCCTCTGACCAAAATGACAAAGCTGCTGGTGCAGCTCGAGAGGAGTTGAAGGAGGCTCGCATGAGAATAGAAGCTCTCAGCTACCAGCTTTCTGGCCTTCAGAAACAGGTAAAGGGACTAAATTTGCTTTCATCTCTAATACAGAGCACTGTATTGTTTGGATATATTAACATTTCTGTCCCTTCATATTTTCTGGATTTTACAGAGAGAAATCTTTGTTGTGTTCATTTGGGAGGGAGATGAATTTTTAACTTTTTTTACTGTACCCACATATATGCCAACTGGGTTTTCCATTGTGCTGTCTACCTAGGCTAGTGCAGCAGAAGATCGCATTCGTGAATTGGAGGAAATGATGGCTGGTGAGCGGGAAAAGTTTAGGAAAATGCTAGATGCAAAGGAGAGGGAAATGACAGAAATGAGGGACCAGATGCAGCAGCAGCTTACAGAGTACCAGGAACTGCTTGATGTTAAATTAGCGCTGGACATGGAGATCAGTGCTTACCGAAAACTCCTGGAAGGAGAAGAGGAAAGGTACGTACAGATTCCACATTCTTTTCTTAGGACTAGCAGGTGTTATCTTCATTTCTTATGCTTATTTTTTTACCATTTGAGCAGGAAAACTGAACTGATACTGGCCTCACACCACAATCCGTTGCATGGAACACTTACATGGAACACTTGCAAGTGTTCTCATCTGAACAACGTCTTCATTTTATTTTGGTTTTGTAATGGTCTCAGAGTACAACAGAATATATCATTCTGTGCTTGACATTCATCTCCTCCTTTTGTTTAAGTGCTTATACTTCTGTGTTTTCCTGTTTTTAAATTATGTGGTCCAAGAATAGTGTGTTAAGTAGCAGATATACTCGAGAGGAGGGTTAAGTGATCTGTGTTGCTCTCATTAGCACTGCTTTCCATGTCACATAATGGTACTACCAGAAAATTTCTCAGGGATGGATAGGCGCCCCCCGCCTTCTTTTATATGCAGTCTTCCTGACACACACAGTGAGGCTGCTTTCAGCCTTGGGGCCTATTACAGTCTGGCTATTGAGAATATTGTAGCTTATTGCTTTGTGTGTAGTTCCCTGGATGAGTTAATTAAAATGCTTGCTTCGTTGCGTTAAGGTTGAAGCTCTCTCCAAGTCCCTCCTCCCGTGTTACAGTCTCTCGGGCTACCTCCAGCAGCAGCAGTAGCAGTACTTCACTTGTTCGCTCTTCCCGAGGCAAGAGAAAACGTATTGAAGCAGAGGAGCTTTCAGGCAGCGGAACAAGTGGAATTGGCACTGGAAGTATTAGCGGCAGCAGTAGTAGCAGTAGCTTCCAAATGTCCCAGCAAGCTTCAGCTACAGGAAGTATCAGCATAGAAGAGATAGACCTGGAGGGCAAATACGTTCAACTGAAGAACAACTCAGAGAAGGTGAGTGTCAGCAGAACTCCTAGAAAACAAGGAGTAGGAGCTAAACTGAAATGTTACACGGCCTTTTGTAGCACAAGTAGATAGAGTCACTTGGAGAGCAGGAGCAACATCTCAAGGTGCAGCGTCCTGCAATAATTAACAGGGGCATTTAAAAGTTGAACGTTACAGTGTGCTAGCATGAGTGTAATGTTTGCTGCAGGAAAAGAACACAGTTTGTGTCCCAAATGTCTAAACCTGTGTGCTGGTACTTTGCTCATGTAAATAGCCTTGCTGGCTCTAGCAGAACTTTTTTGTGTGAAATGTGTATTTTTTTAAATTTTGCTGAATGACTTTATGGAATTTACACTTTAGACTATTAGTGGGTATAGAAAAATACTTTCAAGTTAGAATGCAAATGTCTCACAACTGTGTAAATAAATTTATATGCGCGTTATTTTAATAATAGAGAGACCTAGACAAGCTCTGATGCCTGTTTGCTCTGTTTTGCTCTCCCTAAATAACCTTATGACTCTCTCCATTAGGATCAGTCTTTGGGTAACTGGAGACTGAAAAGACAAATTGGAGATGAAGAAGAAATTGCTTACAAATTTACTCCTAAGTATGTCCTCAGAGCTGGGCAGACTGTAACAGTAAGTTACATTTATAGTATGTCAACAATATATTCTTTTGTTGATGCTGTGACAGTTGTAAATCTGACGTTTGGTACAGCCTGATTTGGTGTGTAACTTTTGGTTTCATGGATCTCACTTTAGAGGAGCAGGATTTCAGTTATAAAAATGCAGAACAGAAACTGAATTTCTGTATTAGCACTTCAGTATTTAAGACCACCTCGGGCAGAGAAAGCTGAAAAAGGTATTTCGGGGAATGGGTCAAGGGCTGTTTGTTTTCAAACACCTTTGCCCAGGTTTGGAACGCTAATTGTGCTCAACCTCTTAATGAAATAAGAACATTTCAGAGCATTCATTCTAGTAAAATTTAGTTAAGTATAAGACTAGATGTTCTCAGCCTTGATTGTAGTAGAACAGATGCTTTTCTATAATTTTGTATTTTATTTTCAGTCTGCAACAGATGTTCTTCAGCAGAAAAAAATGGCTTTCTTTCAATCAGTTTCAGCTATTTCTACTTAAGTATCAATTGCTCAGATACATATAAAAGATTAAGTTGATACACTACAACCTGCATTTTATGTCTTGGCTCCATACAGTATAATAATTGAGACAGTGGTAGGAGAAATTTGTATATTCAGAAAAGAATTGATGATTGCAATATTAGATAATTTTTTTTCTCTTGGGGATTTTTAATGGCTAGTGTTACTTTTTGTTGTAGACTGAGAATAATACCTATACCATTACTTGTAATAAGATAAAAGCAGGGTAAAACTGCCATTGGAATTCAGAAACAAAACTGGTATGTAGAGAGAAGTAGGAGAATTAGGGGGTTCTGCATATTTAAAAATAAAATGTGCATAAATAGCTAATTACAGAATGTCTTTCTCACTAGATTTGGGGTGCAGATGCAGGCGTATCACATAGCCCCCCTTCTGTTCTCGTGTGGAAGAATCAAGGTAGCTGGGGCACTGGAGGAAATATCCGCACATACCTTGTAAACTCTGAAGGAGAGGTAGGCTGTGTCTGTAGAAGAAAGCTGTGGACTGGGTTATCTCCCAAACTCTTTTAATTTGGGGGGTGGGACAATGCCGACAAAATCTGATTTTAAGATCTCCTCTATGGCCTTTTAAAATTAGACAGTTTATAACACTGAAATAAACATCTGTACATATCTCTGAGATTTTGGGGAAATTTTGGAAAACTGTGATCATCCTCCTGATACATCCATAGACTTTTTTTTTTCCTATTTCAGAAAAACACTATGCTAGTAGAGAATTTATTTGGAATTTGAGTAGGTATTTTCAGAAGAGACAAAGAAAATAAGTATTGCTAGCAATTCAAAGTTACAGTATATAGTACCTATAATATTCTGGGGTGCAATGTAAATATTAATGTGGGAAGATAGCTGTCCTTTCAATGTTGGAAGTATATCAGAAGTTTTCATTTGGTACAGGTTCCTGTGTATTCTGCGTTGTCCTACATCTGCCCATAACTGATTTTTTTAAAAACCATCCCTGCAGAAGATTCCTGCAAGGGAGGATTGTGATTTGGCTGTTACTCATAAATGTACCATTATCCCAGTGATCTGATAGAAATAGGAAAGTAAAACAGACTATACTTGTATCAGTTTTCATGCTGCCTTTCTTGCCTGCAATTCTGTGGAAGCACTTTGTGCAGGAACAGCAGCACAGGACAAGGTAGGAGGGAGGGTCATTTGTACAAATAGAAAGCTAACTGGCTTAGTATTCAAATAGAAGTGGTTAAACTAGTATCTGAAAAAATTTCAAATCCATGTCTGTTACCACTGTGATTGCCTTTAGTATCCCTGCTTAGAAGTGTATGTTTAGGGCGACTTTTTCCACAAGTAGAAATTTGCACCTATGATTTCAAGGGTGCAGGTGTACAGAAGAATTTCTTACTACTAAGAAGTGTTAAAAATAATTTAGTAATAAAGGAAGCTTCCTGGGGTTTTAGAATTCTTTTTAGTGTCTGGTTTGAAAGACTGTCCTGATAATTGATACACGCAATTGATACAGAGTATTTAGTAGAAATCAGGAATATTCTTAATGCTGTGTAATCATACTGAGAAACTTCAGTGAAACTTTAGTTTCTCACATTACAACATGTCTCAGACAGCTGCTAACTGGGTCTGCTATGAGCTTGTATAAAACTGAGTAATGATCACCTGAAACATGGCTGCTTCCTCTCAAATCCCTAGGTAATGAAAGAAAATTCCTGAAGCTAAATTACATTACCGTGACTTTTAGTGGATAAAAATAGGAGTGGTGGTGTGGTTTGCAGGATATTACTGGTATTTGCTTGCATAGCTAATGTTAAATCTAGGGCAAGTTGCTTTAAGCCCTCCAAAATTTAATAGGGATATTATATTGATGGTATAGCAAAAACTATAGATGTAGACTACTGGCCATCTTCTTATCTGTCATTTTGTGTAGGAAGTTGCAGTGAGAAGTGTTACTAAATCAGTAGTCATGCGAGAGAACGAAGAGGAAGAGGATGAAGCAGAGTTTGGAGAAGATGACCTCTTCAACCAACAGGTAATAAGATGCAGACCAGGTGTTTAACTTGTGCCTTGTTGGTTGGATTAATCAGGCATAAGATTTAGGGGGGTCCCTTCAACTTTTGCCAGCTCTGAGCTTCCTGGTCCAGTTTTCCAATGGATGCTTGCAGAGGACAATCTCAGAATGGCTTGCAACCCTGCAGCATTACTACAATGCACAGAGGGAGTATAATGTGAGCTATTTTTCCAAGATTTGCTGCTTGAATCAATAATGGTACAGCTCAAGCAGTGGCTAATGTCAGGTCAGGATGCCAGGGTATCTATGGAAGTATGCAACAGATCAGATTTAAAGCATTGCAATGATACAGACTATTTTTAGGGTTAATAAGATTAGTTTTAGCAGTCAATGTTCCTCCCATTCCAGTATTTGCTTGTCTATAAAAAAGAGTCTGTGGCATTCTTGCTGTAAGCAGAATATAAACATTGGGAAATATAACCACTAAAAACCAGGAAAGGGGGAGTGCTTCTGCTGGTGCAAGCTTCAGCTTATTGGTTTATTTTCTGATAGTATAAACCTGCTACATCTGAAATAAACTTGGTTTTTCTTAATAATACCACCTGTATGTTTTCATAACCCTTAGTTAAGTACTGTGAAATAACTGCCCAGCAGTCAACAGAGTGAAAAGGTGAAAGATACTTCATACAGGTGGTACCAGAAAATATTTTAAATTTATTTCAAAGTCAAGCGATTTGTTCTCCTGATCAGTGGCCATTAGTAGCTCTTTTCACAAAGAACTCATTCTGTGCAGGTTTGAAGTTGAGTTCTGAAAGCTTTTTTTGGTCTCCAGGAGATTGAGCAGTGTATTTGTAGTACAAAGCAACTGAAACAAACTTTTTTTTACCCAAAGAAGCAGCTATGCAGCATAGATCTCTCTCAAATGGAAACATCATTTGAAATAAAGGAAGGAACTTCCTGTTCGAAAGCTAATGACATTATGATTTTCATTTGTCATCTGTATCAGTGTTGGAAGTATGGAGATTAACCGACCAACCCATCATAGAAAACCACAACCAGAGTAGCAGTGTCTTAATTCTGGCAGTAGACTGTGACATGTGCTATGCTTTCTCTATAGTTGTGATGTTCCCTGAATATAACTAAACTACAAAAAAAAAAGCTTTTAACAACTGAGATAATAACCAGAGTCTAGGCTTACAATATGAAAAGCTAGTAAGAATTGAGTTCAACTATGTCTGTCTTATTTTAGGGGGATCCCAGAACAACCTCTAGAGGATGCTCAGTGATGTGAAGAAAGAAAATAGAAACTATTATTTGCTTTTTTTTTTTCATTTATTTCCTTTTATTTTTGCTATTTTTTTCCCTCCAGAGCCACTGAAAACTATTTTTATATACGCATCATCTGATTTCTTTGAAGTTTGCTCCTTGGTACATTTTTATAAAAAATTTCAAAAAAAACCTTTACTGAACAAAACTGCCAGAACTTTAATAGATTTCTTTATTTTTCCCTCTGTTGAAACACTATATTGGAATACAACATTTTTCCCCATGCAGAGTTTAAAATCTTATGTACAAACCTGCAGCAAAAAAGAAATTTTTAGCTAAAATGGGATGAGACTCCTTGAGTGTATGGTAAATCTATAATTGCATATATAACCAGGATAACTAAAAAAAAAAAGTTTAAGAAAGCATGTTCATCTGCAGGGCCCCAGGAGAGATTCGCAGTAGTGTTTCCTCCATACTTTAAGAAATGGTAGTATCTTGCCTGGTATCCTCAGCAGTGCCCAGCTTAGGAAAATTAGACCCCAAGTTCATTAAAAATGCTACTCCACCAATGGAAGTAATAAAGGGAAGCTGCATTTTAGACATTCTCGGCTCAGGACCATGGCATCTTGTCCTACTCCAGGATTTGACAGCCTAGTGGTAAAAACATCTGAGTCTGTCAACACCTTAGCTCCATATCATTATTTCAGAAGATGGAGAATGGTGGGTTCTGCTTACTGAATATATACACCACTTTAAGGTATGGAAGTGTCAAAACCAGAGTTTTAACTGTTTTATTTTCAGGGGGTTTTGACATTGTCACAAATGAGACCTTGTTAAATCATGGACGCAAGTTGTGATGTACCGTACTTATGATGTTAAGCATCATGATTTAATGCTTTTGATATATTCAGCATTAAATAGAATTATTACGATTTTAGATGTTTAAAATACTTTTACTTTTGGCAATGATAAATATTGGGGATTTTAAAGGTTATCCTGTGTAAATGTTGACTTTTTTTTAATCAGAGGTAGATGCAGCTTGTTCATACTTTTCTTATATTCAAAGGGGCATTGTCAGATACCTTAAGAAGCAGTATTTGCAAAATAGTACAGAAATAGTTTAGTGACTTTTAAAAAAGTTAAAAGAAACTGCTGTTGTTCAGGACGTAAGCATTGCTTTGCAATGGTCAAATGCTCGAAGTAAAGGCTAACAGGGAGTGAAGGGAGAATAATGCTTTTTATAAAAAATGCTTCGTATGAGCAGCAGGTTATTTTTATTCCAGTACGATGCATTTTGTATCTGATAGTGTCCCTTTAGCTTAAGGTTTCTTCTGCTGCATTTCTGTGGAGACAACTCTGACTCCTGGTTAGGGTTAGTATTCATATAGTAGTGCATCTTTAAGCACTAGGAAAAATACTTGACGGCTCCAAAGAATGTATTGGCTACTGTACAAGCAAATATTTTTTCCACTAGTTATTGGTGGATACAAAATTTGGATACCATTTGATGCCAGCATAGAATCCTGGTTTTTACCTGCACTCTTGAACTCTGATCTTGTCATTCAAATAGTTTAGACTCATCAAACAAGCTACAAGGTTTGGATGTTTTCGGTGGCTTTTGGACATTATGTTCTCTGAACAGTATTGTGACTGACAGATATAACCTAGAAAGTCAGTTTAGTGGCTTTGACTGATGGCTTTGTAATGCAAGCAGGGTGGGAACAAAAGGGTTTTTTTAAGCTTATAAATTTATTTTACCATTTAAAAATAAATCAAAGATGCTACTTTCTCTGTTTGAGTGGGATGATTGAATTACTGAAGTTAAACTAATAGAAATTTAGAATTATGTTTTAATCCATTATCAGAAGGCCTATTACAAAAAAGCAGTATGAAGATTTGGCTGTTTGGGCTAGTTGGATAATTTTATTGATGTACTTGACCGTTCTTCTAATGTAATTTCCCCACTCTGCTTGAGTAGAAGGTTAAATATGTAGTAAATTATGTCTATCTCTCTGTAAAATGTATCTAGTGAAATTATGTTTCTCAGACATACTGTTATCAATTACCTTTTCTAAATTTGTTGTTATGCAAATGAATGCAATCAATGTAAAAGTATTTTTGCAATGCACCTTCCAACCACTGGACAGCATTTCCCTTTCTGACCCACAGCTTCCATAATATACTTACATAATGTTTGAGGGCTTTTTGCCTTTTTTTTTCCTAAAGATCTGTATTTATTTTTTTTACATTGGCCAGTTTTCAGATTGCTTATTCTTTAATATTGTCCTGTAAATTTAAGATTGTTCTGTGATCTTAAATACTAAAGCAATTTTTTTTTTGTAGTTCATTTGCATTTTTTCTGTGATTGGTTTTTTTTCTGTAAAGAATGGGCTAGGAAAGGCAGCTTGAATGAGGAAAAACCTCTTGCTACCTGAGCCATAGTTTTCTTAACAGCTACTGTATGGGGAATGTGTCTTCTTGTAGCCTTAAGGACTGGTGCTTGCAGATCTTATTTGATGAGCACTGTGCCCTTCAGTAACAGTCTGCAGAATTTGTCCTTAGATTTGGAACTGTGTCCTTTAACTTTGGAAACAGTTTATTTTATTCTGCAGTACCATGTTTAGGTATATGCAGGTGTTCATATAAAACAGTGATAGACACTGTGGGAAAAACTGAATGCCAACAGTCTAAATGTGGGTGATTCTGTCTCCACAGTGCTTTCTAAAAGGCTACTAAAAATATGATAAGTAATTCCTAGCTGTAAATTACAAGACACAGAAAAACTACTGTATTCCATGTACTTTCTTTTTTGTGTGTGTGTCTTCTCTAGACACCATCCTTTCCTCTTGCTTTTGATGCTGAGCTTCAGTATAACGGCACTATCCCTTTAAAGTTGGTGCTCCATACTGGGAGGTTTTTTGGCTTTACCAAACCAAAAAGCATTGTTTCTTTTTTTTCTGTATTTCAAGGATAATTTTTTTTCAGGATAATTAAAGCTTTTTGTTCAAATAAAATCCAGTGTCCCCTTGCCCTCTTTTCCTATTTGATCCTGTATGTGAACCACTCTTGAAGAAGCTGGAGGATAGTCAGTGTTTCTACTCCAGTGTCTGATATCAGGTGTAGAGCTTAGGAGGAGAAATAGATGTGACTTGTCAGGAAAAAAATGATTTTAAGGCTTCTCTTATTAGGGAAATTAACCAGTATAGCTTTTATCAGAGTAGTTACTTGAGCGTAATTACCCATATGGATGTTCTTATTTCAGGGAAATAAGCAAACAACTTTATCCTGGATGAAATAGTAAAAATGATTCCTAAATTATTCTCACTGGTTAAGAGAGGGAAGGAATAACAGCATAACTGCAGCAGAATAGTTAAGCCAATCTTTTCATTGTGTAGATCGTAACAGAATATCATATAAAATATGATAAACGCATACTACCTACTCCTAAGTTTGTACCATGTGAAAATGGTCCTGTCAGAACAAGTCCATCCATCTGCAGAACCATTGGTAACGTGGTGTCCTGCAGAATAAGATGGTTACAGAGAGCCTCTGACATTTCATGCCACTTCTTTCTCCCTCGCTTCTGTATTTGTTACTTTAGCTGTTGTGTTGCAGTGACTCCAAGTAATAGAGTGGGTATGATTCCTTTGTTGCTGCACAGCTTTATTTCCCAGTGTGTCTACTTAGGCTAGTTCAGGACTCTAGATTTGCCCTGACAAAAACAATAGTTTACACTGATGTATTGATCACTTGTCTTCAGCACCATTTTGCCATTAGATGGAAGTTGGCTGGCAGAGTTTGTGTTTGTAGTAGGAACCAAATGTCTCAGGAAGAAAATAAAGATCTGCTTCCCATGACCTGTAATGTGAAAGCCAGACGAGCTTGTCTGCAGCTTACATTAGTCATGAAAATTGTATTGCAGCGTGAAGCAGACCATACTGTGAAAGGAGATCACTTAATCTGCATGTTTATCCTTGAGCAACGGCACACCTCATGTTCAGTTCAGGGATCTTACTGGTTTTTTATATACCCTTTTTTCTTCTTTTTAATGCTCATCCTTTAACTACCACCTGAATAGGGGTTAGTTAGAAGAGGCTTGTAGAAATCCTCTCTATATCGCAGAACATTTGAGAATGTTTTGTGTGCATCAGAAAGATTTTGATGCTGTATGAAAACAAGCATGCTGTATGTTTTATATCTCTTTAGCCACTTATTTCACTTCCTCACTGTGATGTCATTCTAGCTCTTCTTTCTGTATCTTCTTTTGAAAGTCTTATCTCTAAACAAAGGCATTATCCATATTTGATACTGGATTTTATTGCCACTGTTGGGTCCAAACCCTGTGTGAGCAGGAAACAAAGCCTTGTTGTAAACCAGTGAGTGGAAGGTGAGATAGTGATTGCATTTTTCAAAGCATTGTTTTATCTGAATGTCAAGACAAATTATATTGGAGAGTTTCTTTTCTCACTTCAAATGGCCTGGGAAACAGAATTATTTGCCCTTCAATATGATTAGCTTTAAACCAGTTTAAAATAATTTAAAAGTGGGGTTTTTTTATACAAGACCATATTTACATGCAACTATTATTTGTAAACATAATGCCTTTCTTGAAATGCTAAGGTCTAGAGAGTGAACAGGATGCTTAATATTGAAAGACTCCGTTAAGAATAGCACAAGCAGTGAATTGACTTGGAGGTCAGGAAAAGAAAATATGTTTCATTAACTTCCAAATTTTCTAGTTAGCTTTTAATGAAGTGATGATTCTGTGTTGATAAGGTAGATGTTACTGTGTATTCCAGCTACCCAGATCATCATTACACTAAAATTGCAAGCAATAAGCTATTTTAAATGAGTTTAAGCCAAAATGTTTTTCATTTGGGCACAATAGTACCTTCTCAGTTGAACTGTATTTTCATAACAGTGATGCCTTGTGACTTGAATTGTGATTTCTTTTTTTTTAAATTTTTTTAACTTTTTTAATACAATCTTTATTTAGATAGCTCTGGTTCTAGGGTCACTGGTCAGTTTAACTGACTACCTCCAGTCACCTGTTGCAGACGAGTTTTTGGAAGGTTCAAGTTTTTTAAATAAGGAATTGAGAAAAAGGTTGCAAATTGAAATACAAACACAAAATGATGAAAATGTTCACATGGAACTTACGAAAACTACATAATGATCTAGACTTTATCATTTCAAAGTGGGTTTTTTTCTTTTTAGAATATGCATGCCAAATGTCTTGTCTTTTTCAATGATTTGTAATATACATTTTATGACTGGAAACTTTTTGTACAACACACTCGAATAAATGTTTTGCATTTTACTTGTTTCCTTTTTTCATTTAACCAACAGAGAGGCCACATGGGCTGTTTGAGATGATTCATCCCAGGGGGACCTTCCTGTGTGTAGA